ACACTTTCTGACTGACCTTCATATGATAGCTAGTGTGGTAGGAAGGAAAGTGTCAGGCACATCAGCAAACACAGGATGTGGATGCTGGCCCTGCCCCCAGGAGCTTGGAACTCCCCAGAAATGATTCACACAACCTGTCAAAGTCTATTTAGTGGTATCTTGGCGTCTAATTTGAATTTTGATTCCTCTCATGTTGGTTTTACCTTCCAAAAGCCAAGTGTCCCGAGCTCTAGAGAGAACCTATCTTTCCTGCATGTTGATTCCTCCTTGCACATTCCTTGCCATTCTTTGAGGGGAAAAAAAAAAAAAAAAAAATTGATGCAGTTGTATAGGAAAGACTTAAGAAATTAAGACTTGAAATTTCACATTTGTCAGTTGTCTTTCATACATAGCCTAGGGAAAAGAGAAGTTAGAGGGCATAACTACTTGGTCTCTAAATAAAAGAGCCTCCTGATTTTAGAGCTCATTTAAAGCACTGATTTGACTCAAAGGAATAGAAAAGGCCTAGCCACAACACTGTAGGAAAGAGGCATGCAAAGTCTGGCAACAGGGCAGGATTTGTCAAGAAATGGATGGATGGGTAGACAGGTAGATGCCTTTCAGTCAGTTGCGACAGCAGAAGGAAACATTGCCCAGTCCTGTGATGCCCTCACCACGCCAGCAGGTTTCATCCATTGTTGTGGGCATTGTGTCAGTCTATCCATTGCATTGAGGTCTTCCTTGCCCTTCCTGGAGCTCTCCTTCACCAGCTGATATCCTCCCACAGCCCATGATGACATGTTGATCCTTTGTGATCCAAAGGCTTTATTTTACATTGACTAATTTGTAGAAGCAAGTCACCAGACCTTTCTTCCTGCTCTGTCTTATCTGGAAACTCCGCTGAAACCTATCCCCCATGGGTGACACTAATGGTATTTGAAATACTGGTAGAGTTGTTTCAAACTTCATAGCAACATGCAAGTCACCAGAGTATGGCCAATTGGCAGATGGAAGGTAGTGTCAAGAAATACCTTTTAAAGGTGAAAAAATTCCTTTTTTTTCTCTTTCTTATGTTCTTGAGGAAAATTCCAACTGAAGTTGTATTCTTGTGACATGTCTTTCCTTGTCAATTCCCTAGGCATCCTGTTGGGGTAAAGGAGACTTGGTGGTGCAGTGAGTTAAGTGTTGGGTTACAGGGTTGGCAGTTTAAACCCACCAGCTGTTCCTCAGGAGAAAGGTGAAATTTTCTGCTTCTGCAAAGATGTATACCCTCAGGAACCCTGGGGAGCAGCTTTGCTGTCTCTGTGAACTGGAATCGATTCAGTGCCAGTGGGTGGATAGGGCAGTGGGTTAAGCATTGAACTGCTAATCAAAAAGTTGGTGGTTTGAACCTACCAGCCACTCTTCAGAAGCCTTCTGGGACAGTTCTACTCTGTCCTATAGAATTGCTATGAGTTGGGATTGACTTGATGGCAGAGGGTGGAGTGGGTCTCTTAGGGCTACTTTTCTATGGAACAGCCACAATTAGACACATTGTTTTAGGAAATGCCAGTGGCCTGGACTCCACTCTCTCTTTCCCTTGAAATGTCCCCGTATCCTGGTTGGCTTCTATCTCACCAGGATCACATCTTAAGCACAAGATGCCTGAGTTTACTTCTTGCACTCTCCCCCCACTGTTTTGTTAAGTTGTTAAGTGCTGTTGCGTTGGTTCCGACTCATAGTGATCCTGTGTAGAGTTTCCGAAGAGCAACTGGTGGGTTAGAACTGCCAACCTGTAGTTCACAGTCCAGTGTTGATCCTACAGCGTCACACCAGCAGTTCTTTTTCACTTTGTTGTTAAGTGCCATCAAGTCAGTTCCAACTCATAGCAACCCTGTATAGGGTTTCCAAGGAGCAGCTGGTGGGTTTGAACTGCTGACTTTATGGTTAGCAGTTCAGGGCTTGTCCTATAGTATCACACCAGAACTCTTTTTTTCATTTTAGTGGGTGGTTACTATTGTTGTTAGGTCCTGTCTTGATCTCTTATCTCATTTCCTTGTTTTTCCTTTTTGGCAGTGTGTACTTTTTGCCAGCTCTGTCAAAGCATTACAGCTTTTCTTTCTCTTCCCCATTGCAATGACGTGCTGAATTGGCAGCCCTAAAACACCCCCACTGCCATCTAGTCAATTTTGACTCATAGTGACCCTAAAGGACAGAGTAGAACTATTATTATTGTTGTAATATTTAGCTTTATCTTCTCGAGCTGATCTTTGAAATTTTCTGTTAAGCTCTTGGACCTCTTCAATTCTTCCATTTGCTTCAGCGTCCCTACAGTGGAGAGTAAGTTTCAGTGTCTCTTCTGACATCCATTTTGACCTTTTCCTTCTTTCTTGTCTTCTCAATGACTTTTTGCTTTCTTCATGTATGTTGTTCTTGATGTCATCCCACAGCTCTTCTGGTCTTCGGTCTATAGTGTTTAATGTATCAAATCTGTTCTTCAGATGATCTCTAAATTCAGGTGGGATATATTCAAGGTCATATTTTGGCTCTCGTGGACTTGAACATTTTCTTCAGCTTCAGTTTGAATTTTCATATGAGGAATTGATGGTCTCTTCCACAGTCTGCCCCTGGCCTTGTTTTCACTGATGATATGGAGCTTTTCCATTGTCTCTTTCCACAGATGTAGTCAATTTAATTTCTATGTATTCCATCTGGTGATGTGTATAGTTGTCTCTTATGCTGTCTAAAGGAGGTATATGAAATGAACAAATCATTGATTTTGCAGAATTCTTTCATGTGTTCTCCAGCATCATTTCTATCACCAAGGCCGTATTTCCCAACTACTGATCCTTCCTCTTTTCTCCCAACCTTTGCATTCCCATCACCAGTAATGATCAATACATCTTGATTGCATGTTTGATCAATTTCAGATTGAAGAAGTTGGTAGAATTCTTCTATTTCATTCTCACTGGCTTTTGTGGTTCGTGCGTAAATTTGAATAATAGTAGTATTAACTGGGCTTCCCTGTAGGTGCATGAATATTATCTTATCACAGACAGCGTTGCACCTCATGACTGATCAGGATATATTCTTTGTGACAATGATTGCAATTCTTCAGTTTATCATTCCCTGCATAGTAAGCCATGTGGTTGTCAGATTCAAAATGTCTGTTTCAGCTCACTAATACCTAAGATATCGATGTTTATGCATTCCATTTCATATTTTACAACTTCCAATTTTCCCAGATTCGTACTTCGTACATTCCATGTTCTGATTTTCAATGGATGTTTACAGCTGTTTCTCTTCATTTTGACTTGTGCCCCATCAGCAAATGAAGGTCCCACGGGCTTTTCTCCCATGGGCTTTACTCCATTTGTGTCATCACGGTCAGCTCTACTTTGAGGAGGCAGCTCTTCCCCAGTCACATTTTGAGTCCCCTCCAACCTGAGAGGCTCATTTTCCAGCACTATATCTGACAGTTTCACTCTGCTATTCTTAAGGTTTTCAGTGACTAAGTATTTGGAAGTAGTTCGTCACTCCTTCCTCCTCGTCTATCTTCGTCTGGAAGCTCATCTGAAACCTCTCCACTGTGGGTGATCCTGCTAGTATTTAAAATACCGGTGGCATAGCTTTTGGAATTAGGGAAGGGTTAGAGAGATGGAAACGTCACCTACAGGAGTAGTATTTCTGGGTCTTGGGGCTTTTATGCTTTCAAATTGGTTGTTACATCAACCCCAGGTGATGAGGGGGATGGCAGCACCAAGGTCACTAAGGAGATGATATGTAAGCTGGATCTTGATGTATGTATGAGCACTTAATCTTAGACTCCTGGTGTGGCACTGGACTGCGAGCCACAAAGTTGGCAGTTGGAAACCCTGTACAAGATCGCTATTAGTTGGAATTGACTCAACGGCACTTAACAATGATAATTTTAGATGAGAGGTAACAGGGACTTTCAGCAGTAAGTGACAGAATGAGCAGAAACAGATCGCTGAAGGCATGTAGGTATTCATATGTATGAAAGGGAAATGAGGTGTGGGGAAAAGGGCCTGCAGCCAAGAGGTGCTGGTCCGTGTACTGACTATTGAGGTGTTGGACCGTGTACTGACTGTTGGTGTGCTGGACCATGTGTTGACTGCTGAAATGCTCATCTTCTTAGTGAGAAGTTACTGAAGCAGGCAGTGGACACATGAGATTTTGTGTCATGGTGAGAGAGAGACAGTGAGAGAGAGACGGTGGTCACAAAAGGGATGGGCACAGCTGGAGACCATTGAGGCTGTTGTGCTCCAGCCGCCACTTCTCCTTGATACCCAGGGTCTGAGTAGAGAGGAGAGAATGCTTCCAACTGGAGAACTTCAATCACCAAAGACACATTTCCACCATCTTTACATATCTGCAGAGCTGCAACATCTAGGGCCCTTTCTGTCCACAGCCCAGGGGTTGCCTGGGCCATAAGGGACTGGGCCAGGGGTTCTGAGTGGGACTTTTCAGAGCCCACCTGAACATCTGCACTGTGGAAGTCTTTGGCTGTCCTTTTTACAGTGGACCTGGTAACTGTTCACCTCTGGAGAGCCGTTGATGGAAATCCCTGGAACAGTGGTTGACATTTTGGAGGTTCCTTTCTTTCTGTCCTGCCAGTAAGATATTCTAGAGGGATTCAGAAAGCAGTGGATTTTGACTCTCTCTTTGGGGTTAACAGCCTGAGTTGGCCAAGTAGGGAGGGGGCTACAGAAGGAGATGAGCTCTGAGCCCCTGTGGCTCCTTCTCTAACGTTGTTCCAGGAGACCAGAGAGAGACCTTGTTTAGACTCCTGCTCCTTTTTCTGGAATTGTGGATGGTTGGTGGCAGAGCTCTGTGGCATGTTGGCTCAGGCAAGTGCCAGAAGCACAGGTCTTCTCAGCTCCCAGAAGGTCTATACAGATGGGACCCTGTTTGTGGTGTGGTCCAGAAAGATGAAGCCCACTCCAGTTTTGCTATAACCTTCCTTATACCAAAGTCTCTCAGCCTTGGTACTGCACAAATAACATATACGATCAGTTGTGATGACCAAAAATGTCTACAGTCAGTCCAGTGTCCCTTGGGAAGCAGAATTGCCCCTGGTGAGTACCACTGCCTTACACTCAGTGAACACAGGAAAAAATATTTCTTAGGATTTTTTTAACTTTCCTTTTTATATAAGCAGTGACATATTTATTGAAACAGGTCTTCATTTTTAATAAACTGAACTTGAGTCCGAATCTATTTTTACCTTGTTGTGTTGCAAAAGGCTTCCTTTGTATCACTGGCAAGGTTCTAACCCCAAATTTTAAGCTGCTTTTTAAAGGACCTTTTATACAGTTGAATCATGAGTGAAATACAAAAAAAAAAAAAATGTGTCCTTTTGTAATTTAGATCATATTGTTTGTTGTTGTGAAGTGCAGTTGAGTTGGTTCTGACCCATAGTGACCCTGTATAGGGTTTCTGAGGAGCAGCTGGTGAGTTCAAACTGCCGACTTTGGAGTTCAAATAGCTTTGCAGTCTGGCTCATTTAAGCCACAGCGCCACACCAGGACATAGTTTATCATAAATACAGATAGCAAATGGAATAAAAATACAGCTGACAGTGAATTTTATGAATTTTGTATTGTACAAGTTTGTAACTGCCTGCCAATCTTGTACACACAAAGCTGTTATTTGAAGGGGGTGGTGTGGTGAGCTAAAGCATTCGATAGCTCACATAAAGGTCGGGATTTAAATTCACCAGCTGCTCTGAGAGAGAAAGATGAGGCAGTCTGCTTCTGTGAAGATTTACAGTCTCAGAAACTCTAGAGGAAAAATTTCACTCTGTCCTATAGAGTTGCGGTGAGCTTAAATTGACCTGGTGGCAGTGAGGTTTTTTGGTTGAATTAAGGTTTTGTTTTTGTGAATATTCAAAAACCATAGCTGCAGAGGGAGTGGCCAGTGGAGAACTCAGACCCTCTTGCATTCTGGCAGTTTGGACTTTGAGAAGCAGTTTGTTTTGGACTAAATCTGGAAGACTCATTTGTGTACTGTAGCCAGACATTCTTTCAGGCTGGCTTTCCAGCCTTGTCAGCCTTCTCAGCTTGTTTGGAATGTTAAGTACTGTCACTAGTTCAACTGCCTTTCCAGCAGCTTGCATTGAAGGAAAGAGAACTCCCCAGAAGTATATGTGAAGAGGCCTGGGTGTAAGGTTAGGCTTTTCATTCTGCTGTTTTTTGAAATGAGGAGCCCTGGTGGTTAAGAGCCTGACCACTTACCAAAAGGTCAGCTGTTTGAACCCAACAGCCACTGTTGAAGGAGAAATGAGGCAGTCTGCCTGTAAAGATTTATAATCTTAGAAACCCTAGGAAGCAGTTATATTTTGTCCTATAGGATTACTTCTTGTTGTTTAGTGCTACTGAGTCAGTTCTGATTCGTAACGACCCTGTATAGGGTTTCCAAGGAGTGGCTGGTGAGTTTGAGCTGCTGACCTTGTGCTTAGCAGTCCAATGCTTATCCTACAGTGCCACACCAAGACTTTACAGGGTCATTATGTGTTGGAGTTGAATCGACAGCAGTGAATTTGGTTTGTTTTTTAGATTTTTTGAAAAGTCTTAAGGAGGAAACTTAACTTGTTTTATGTTTGAAAATTTCTGAGAGCTTCTACTTGTTTGTAACTATTTCGATGTGTAAAATAATGACGGGACTTTTCTGTGGCCAAAACAAATAAGATAAAGTAAGGCTGTTTGGTGGCCTTTAGAATTTTTAGTCCTAGTAATAACGGAGTCCTGGTGTGGCACTGCTGGATAATGTGCTGGACCGCAAGGTCAGTTTGAACCCCAAGGTCGATGGTTCAAACCCATCAGCTACTCCTCAGAAACCCTATATAGCATCACTATGTGTCAGAATTAACTCGGTGGCACTTATAAACAACAACAATAATGGTTGAACATTTAACTACTAACCAAAAGGTTGGTGGTTTGAACCTTATCAGAGGAGCTTCAGAAGAAAGGCATGGCAATCTGCTTCTGAAAAGTCATAGCCTTGAATACTCTGTGGGCACAGTTGTACTCTGCACACATGGGGTCTCCTCAATGGCCACTGGTTTGGATTTGGTTTTGTTGAAAGAAGTTGGACACTGGACAAGCTGCTTAGCTTTTTTGCTTCATTCTAAACTTGGGGGACTGGCTACCCCATAGGTAACTGAGAGAATCATGAGCTGGCATTGAGGAGGCCTGTGGGCAGCTTGTTGTCTCAACAAGCAAAATCTCCCAGTAAAGCATCCTTATTACTCTGGCTGATTTTTGGAAATTTCTTTTTTCTTTTGGAAAGTGCCAAGCTACACAGTTTGTGGATTGCCAGATTCTCTTTCTTACTTATTTTTTATGGTAGGGAAGATAGGAGTAAGGAGTTAGGGTTAGGACTATGACTAGGCCTAGAATTTACTTTGGAGTCCTGGTGTGGTGCTGTAAGGTTAAGTACTGGACCACAAGGTTGGTTTGAACTACAAGGTTGGTGGTTCATAACCATAAAGTCGCTCCTTGGAAACCCTATACAGTGTCGCTGTGAGTTGGAACCGACTCAGTAGAGTGGGAATGGATATCTTTTCCTCAAAAATTATTATAATCCTGTTTATTGTATTTGGGTGACCTTTCTTCTTTTTCTTTTGTCACTTCCTGAAGTGAGCAGAAACTTTAAGATCTTTCTTTTTCCTTTGACTATTTCCTAAAATGGGAATGTATGCCTTAAAAATTTAAACTAGCCAACCATTTACCGGAAAAAGATTGTGCGGTCAAAGCCCTAGCCAATGGGGAGAGACACAACCTTAAGACTTGCGTCAGGGATTAAAAACCTGAGTGGACTGCCCACCCCGTGTGCTAGCTGGCCTGTCCCTTTATAGCTATGTGCACACACCCTCTTGAAAGAGTAAATTTTGCTTTGCCAGGTATTTTAGTCTTACTGAGTGTCTTTTGTGCGACATCTGGAATTCATTTCTAAGAATAGCACTTAACAACAACAACAACAATTTACGGTTAGGACTAGGGTTAGTGTTCAGGTTGGACCTAGAGCTAGGTGTAAGGCTTGATCTAGATTTAGGATTACAGTTAGGGTTATTTTTTACTTATTTTAAAAATTGACTTGATTTTCTCTTTTGGAAGTTCTGTAACTACACTATCCCCTCTTTAACTTTATGGGTTTTTGTTGTTGTTGTTGTTGTTGTTGCAAACTAATATCTCTGTTTCCCTATTTTCAGTTTCACAGGTTTATTTTGCTTTGAATCCTTATATATTTGGGTTGAGTCCTGGGTGGTAATATCATGTATGTTAGTTTCAGGTTGTTGTCTGCTACTGTTGACACTCTATCCAAAGAACTGTGTTTAGTATTTTTTGTAAGGTTGGTCTGGTGTTTACAAATTCTTTTAATCTCTGTTTCTTTGGAAATATCCATATCTCATCATCATATTTGATGGACACGGTTACTGGGTATATGATTCTTGATTGGCATCTTTTTTCTTGCAGAGTTTTGTATATGTCATCCCATTGTCTTCTTTTCTGCATGGTTTCTGCTGAGTTAAGCCGAGCTTAGTCTTGTAGGTAACTTTTAGTTTTTCTCAAACTGCTCTCAGGATTCTTGTCTTTGGTTTTGAAAGTTTGATTATAATATTTCTTGGCTTATAATATGATTTTCTTTTGGGATCTGTCCTGTTTGGAATTTAAGTTTTCGAATGGCTATATTTTCGTCTAGCAGTTGTTGGACAATTTTCTCTATGGATTTTTTTTCCCTTTCTTCCTGTTCTGGAATTTCAGTCACATATAACTTACTACTCTTGAAGGTGTTCCACATAAATCTTAGGCTTTAATTGGATTTTTAAATTCTTTTCTGTGATTGTTCTGCTCGAAGATGAGTATTGAGAGATTTTTTTTCTTTGAACTCAGTCATTCGGCCTTCCATCAATTCAGTTCTACTTCTTTGCCCTTTCAATCTATCATCTGTTTCTGAATTCTTATTATTAATCTTCTGGCTTTCTAATTGTTGTTTGTGTCTGATTTGTAATTTCTCATTTCTTTGGTCAATTTGTTCTTGTAGTGTTTTCTTGAATTCTTCTAAATTTTTTTTCTGAGTTATCCTTGATCTTTCTCTCAGTCTGTTCAATGTACTTGATTGCCATTCTTCTAAATTCCTTATCAAATAGTTCTGATACCATTTGTGGTATCGTATTTCCTGACTCTGTATTTTGGCCATTTGTTTGATGCACTCTGTGTTGCTTCTTTGTGTTAAGTTGAGATTGTTTTTTCCGAGACATTTTGGTGTTCTTGTATTTACATTTAGTTGATGATTGTATGTTGGTGTGTTCTTAGGTACTCACTGCCTATATCCTGGTGGATGTGAGAGAAACTGGAAGTGTGAACACAGTTTTCTGCTGTTTATGTTCAGGGTGAGTTCACATGCTTGCAGAAGCAAGAGTGGCACATAGCCAAGGCTGAGCAGGAGCGGGTGTCAGTGGCTGCTGGATTGACGAGGGCACAGACTGGACACACTCCTAGCTATCAGGAGGGCATGGAACTAGAGAGAACTGTACCCCCTTCCGTTAACCTCCAGTCATGTCCTGTGACTGCAGGCCACTGTATCAGCAACAGCTGCTCTCAAAAGCTCAAGATGGCTGTGATGATGCTCCACACCAGCTGACAGTCTGCCCATTTTTCTTCTCTCTTACTGCTCCTGTTTAGCTTCCTCATCCGGTCGGCACTCATGCACCTCCCTGTCCTATTCTCTGAAGCTCAGGGTTCCAAGATCTGTTTCACTTGGCCTCATAAATCTTTGTTGCTGAGGATCGGCTCAATGCATCTGCCTTCTCTGCCATCTTCCCCTGGAATTCTCTCTTTTTCTTTTTAAATGAGAGAGTTTACAGATCAAATTTGTTTTCCATTTAAACCATCTTTGCACATTTTATTTTATGACATTGATTTCAGTCCCTGTGTTTGCTGTTTTCCTTCGTCCTTCTTTCCTATCCCTTCCTAACTCCTGATCTTTATCCCTGGGAAAATGCTGCCCTTCTGATCTCATGTGGTTGATTCTTCTAAGGAGTTTGTACCTCCCTGGTGTTATTGTACACCTTAGT